GAACGAAGTTACGGAAAGTTAATTAACAAACGGAGACGTAACAATACTATTAAAAATATAACTTAAAAACCTTTTTCATTTTGGCAAAAAGAAGAATATATAATTTTAAATTCTGACACTCTTCACTCGTTCATCCAAAAACAAACTTTTTGACATCCTACGGTATAGTCATATTAGTATAACCCCAACACCGTGTTTTGTTTAATAACGTGCAAAGACCTTCAATAGCTTCGAATGCAAAGGTGAATAGGTAGAAAATTTCAGATCCCCGGTGGCTCAATGGTAAGTCTGAAGGTTTATAACGGTAAAAATGGATTTCCATACTCGCGATGGGCAGTACACAGATTGCCCATTGTGTAACTTTGTGCTTAACAGCAAACAAGCTATAAGAACAACTTATATAAAATAAAACAATGCTCTCATTTGGGAAACTTTATATCAAACATGAATAGGCCTATAGCCACAGGCGGATTATCATTGAGGCTGAAACCTCAGGCACCATGCTTAAGGTGACCCCAGTCAGTTCCGAAAACAAATAAAATTCCATATAAATATGTAGGGAATGTAATATTAAAATATCAGATGTAAAATAATCATAAAAATATTTTCAGTATATGTATTTCTTTTTATTTTTATATTCTAATTGACGATGTTTAATTTCAATATTTGTTCCTTCAAGTTCAATCTGTGTACTGCTACTGCTGTTGAGCAATATCATCATCAGTGTGTTAAAGTTCTTTAATATTTGTTTCTCATTTAGTCTAAGCACCGTACATGTAAATTGTGTAAATGTACAATATACTGTACATGTATTGATTTTTGTTTGTTAGGCTTGAACTTCGCGTGCGTGGTGTTGATATTGCGAAATTCTGCGTATAGGCGTTTTTTTTTATATTGTGACATTTTGTTTCCAAGCGTGAGGTTCATTTTATGAAACTTTGAATTTAACTGCAATATTCTTGGTGTGTCCTGAATCCTAATTGTAAACTGGTAGATAGAGCAAAAGTTTTAAACTACCTTCGGTTATACAATACCACGTGAACTACCATCAGGTGGTTAACAAACTATGATTTGTTTTGAATTTCGCGCAAAGCTACACGAGAGTTATCTGCGCTAGCCGTCCCTAATTTAGCAGTGAAAGACTAGTGGGAAGACAACTAGTCAACATCACCCACCGCCAACTCTTGGGCTACTCTTTTACCAACAAATAGTGGGATTAATCGTAACATTATAACGCCCCCACGGCTTAAAGGGCGAGCATGTTTGGTGGGACGGGGATTCGAACCTTCGACCCTCAGATTGCGAGTCAAGCGCCCTAACCACCTGGTCATGTTAATAAAAATCTATAGAAAAGGATCTCACAAAAATATAATTAGCCTCAGGCCCGAAGTACAGTTAATCCGCCCTTGACTATTGCAACATATTGTAAGACATAAGAAGTATGTCAAGTACGAGTCATAAACTTTAAAGGCGATACCACCCAAAGTGATAAATTTTATAGTCATTAAGTGACTTCAGTTTATTAATAAACATTAAGTTCTGAAATGTTAGCTGTAATCTCAATGTTCTGTATGAGAAATACAATTGATTTGTTGATACCTCAAAAAGGCTGTCTACACTAGCAGTCCCTAATTTTGAAATGATAGACTAGAGGAAAGGCAGCTAGTCAACACCACCGACCGCCAACTCTTGGGTCATTCTTTTACCAAAGTGGGACTGATCGTACCTTTATAACAACCCCACCGTTGGAAAGGCATGTTCGGTGATGGAATTCGAACCTACGAACCGCATATTGGTTGTCAAGCGCTCTAACAGCGCTGCCATGTCAGGCCCTATGTACACTTGACATAGTTCAAATTGCCTGTGTAGTGTTATGTATTAGAATTTCAAATAGTCAGAAATTAAGTTAACTTGTAATTTAGATTTAGTAGTTAAATATTTGCCGATATATTTCCAATTTATGATATTTGCCAACAAGATTGATACACACAGTTTTCATCCAATTGCCAACAAGATTGATACACACACTTTTCATTGTTAACACAAATATATTTTAATATACAAACAACAATACGATTTACAATAATAGTTATTACACACAATGATTTATATACAAAAATTTTACAAACTTACAAGCAATATAAAGTTTTCTTTCTAGTCTGGAACTTCCTTGATATATAATCGAGGGTTCACAATGAGCGAGTTAATTACGAGTTGATGCAAGTACAATTCGCTTAATGGAAAGCTAGCTAGCTTTGTCCTTCGTTATTCACCAGCCACATACGCCGAGTTTTCCACCGTTGAAGTTAGGTAATGTTTTTTGTAAAAATACTGATGTCTGATGAGAATCCACTGAAGTTAAATGATTTGTAATGTTCGAACTTTGTAAATGCTCCTGGTCAAATATCTGAAGTTTTATAATTGATAAGCGTTATAATAATCATAGTTATAGCTTCCAATGTTTATAGCACGCAGACTATAGCAAACTAATAATAGATATTATTTTGGCGCGTTGAGTTGGTTATATTTATAGGCGTGTGGAGAGCTTCTGGACAATTTAGATTACGTAACAATA